TTACTGTTGTTGGGTTGTTGGGTTGTTTTGAGTTATTGTTGTTGGGTGGCTGGGTTATCATGTTACAGTTGATGTTGATTTTAAAAAAGAATAGATGGGCAGGATCTTGATTGGCCTTTGTATTTGTGTACATGTTTTCTCTTGAGTTTCTCTATCCCTTACTGCAGTCCAGTTTCTCTAAACAAAGGACCAACAGGATCATCAAGAAGCCCAGTTATGATTCGCCTCAGGGAACAGGCTCCCCAGCTGAGTCCGGCTGCCACCGCAAGGCACAGGAGGCAAGCATACTTTCTGTTGGCCTCCAGCCACAGAAACTGCAGCTGCTTTGCTTTCCCTTCCACCCACCACAGAGAATACAGCTGGCCTTCCAACCCACGGTACAAGAAAAGAGAAAGGGTAAAGCAGCCAGGATGCCCCATGGCATCTCACTGAAATATGCTGCCCCTAGAATAGCCTCTGACTTGACCACTGTGCTGGCTGCAGCCAACTGCATTACCAGATGCAAATGAAATTGCTCTTGGGTCACTGTGGGAGCCACAGCCTGATATGCCTCTTGGGTGGCAGTAACTCCAGCTGGTCAAATTCTACCTACTCAGGACAGAGATGACACACGGTCTCGGAAAATTCCATTGGAAATCCCTATCTGTCTTCAGGATCTTATCTGGAAGGTTTAATGGAAAATGGATGATAGGAAGAGAAACAAGCTGATGTGCTCACAGTGTACTCTGGCAGGGAAATTATTTTTCAGCAGTAAGTACCTGTAAAAAGTCACCTCCTTTGAAATTCAGCTCTGCGCTGAGCACGAAGCATCGTATGTTGCTTCCATGGAAACGGTGGATGAAGCCGCTTTCACTCTCTCCACCCACACCAGCTTCCGCACTGCCTGGGAACACAAGCAGCTCAGAGCAATGCGACACCAGCTTGGGGAGGCAGGATGGGAGAGCATGCCCCATTCCTAAGTGTGGCTGAGTACTGCCAGGGCGGTGGAGTCAGGGTGGCTGGCATTCTCCTGTATTGTTACCAGCACGTGGCACTGGATCTAAAACATTAGCTGGAGGGCTTCATCTCTTTTCACATTTGCCAGGACCGGAAAGGCTGGATGTTAACAAAAATGGGGGTGGGGAAAATTCCTGCTGTACCTGATGACAATTGCTTCTGAAATTGGTCCCCTTTCCCAATACCCCAGCCTTTTTGATGGAAGCATTTCCTCTGGGATATTGGCAGCAAATTTAGGAATAAAGAGATTTCAGGAAGATTTTCATTTAAATGACACTTGGTTTCCCTGCTGATGAAAGGGAAGCCTTACTCCATCTGCTGAGATCAGATTTCATCTCATCAAACACCTCAGTGTAATTATTTCCCTACCAAGTATTCAAATGAGGATGTAAATGAATACCAAGGTATTTGAAGTCATTAGCGCTGCCTGGGCTGAGGGAGAGCACCAAGGTCTCTCAAGGGAGCAGACCATTCCCCATCAAAGCAGCTGCGCGCCAGTGTTCATTTTGTAACCTTTATACCACATTCTTGAATTAATGAAGACACGTCAAGAATCTATTTCCCTCAGAGGATCTTAGCATGGTGCCTGTAAGAGGGAAACAAGATGTGTGTGTGTGTGTGTGTGTGTGTGTGTGTGTGTGTGTGTGTGTGTGTGTGTGTGTGCGCGCGCAAATGTGCATGCCCACACCTACACATGTGATGGACAGACATCTAGTAATTTAGTAATTAACGTGGAAGAGTTGGCAGGTTTTGTACCTTGTTTCACCTCAGACTATGTCAGTTCTAAGGTTGAGGTGACACTGTAAATAAGCCACCCACCGCACTTCTAAAAGCCTGCCATTGGGATACTGTACCGATCTCTCTCTTCTCTATATCAATCTCTCTGTATGTAAAATAAGAAAGACAGGAGGACCAAGTGATTGAAAATTTGGGCTTCTTGTCTGATATTGGCCATCTTTTCCTGAGCTTCACTAGAAATATCTGAGACCTACCCTGAGGTGGCAGATGAACATTTAGACTTTTCTCCATTTATAAACTTCTCACTTGGTGTTATAAATAACATTCAGCTTTAAAATTCCATTCTACCCTAACAACAAGATGGGCATACAATCTGCCATTTCCTTCTTTGAATGTGAAGAGGGGTGGGTTATAGTGAGAATCTTACCTCCTCAAAATGGCACATGGAGGGAGGGAAGGAAAAAGAGACAAACACGGTGCTCGAGTGCTTTATGTGTGCTGGGAATTTGTACAGGGAAAGGAGCAAAAGCAAGGGGGGGGAGTGTAATGCATTTTTCCTATCGAGAAATAAGGTTCTGCAAACTGGAAAATGTGGCTTTTGGTACTATCAGCACCTAAAACACTGCCTTGCAAACTAAGTGCCAGAGAGAGAGAGAGAAAGAGAGAGAGAGAGAGAGAGAGAGAGGCACATATATTTCAGATGGAATCTCTTTTCTGTTCCCCTCCATCTCAGAGCTCTCACTTAATTCAGAAGATGCACAAGATAAAATTCCAGGCAGAGAGACTGTGTTTACGCTTAGCAATCAAGATCTGATTTAACATGACAGAAAATGGGATGGGATCCTTGGCATAGCCTGCTATTGAGAAAGTTACTATATAGATACAAACAGATCTGGTCCATGCCTTTCTGTGAAAACACACAAGTACAATTAAAGCATGAAGGGAAGCACTGCTTTCTCCAATGAGTTAACAGCAATTCCACTTCTGTACAAAGCCATGCTTTCCCGAGTGGTAAAACCTCACATCCATGTCTAGTCAAACATGCCACAGGGTCCAGGCCGAGTCCAGCTCAATAGGCATTTCAGTTCAAAATACTTCCACATATTTAAGGCAGGAAATAAGAGTTCACAAATTTAGAAAGATTTATATATGGAAATTAGGATTTTCGAATTAGAAAACATGAATAAGATGAAATATATGTGTCAAGTCTTTTTAAAGGGATTGTTTAATAATACGTTTTCTTAAGGGAAATAATGAAACGACAAAGAATAAAAGCTATAGAAACAATACAATGAGCCTTAAAGCATATAAAGGTACTTTATACTTTCTTAAATGATTTATTTTTCTTTTATGTGCATTGATGTTTTGCCTTCGTGTCTTTGCATCCCCTGGAACTGTAGTTACAGACAGGTTTGAGCTGCCATGTGGTTGCTGGAAACTGAACCTGGGTCTTCCAGGCCAGTGAATGATCTTTACCACTGAGCCATCTTTCCAACCCATCGAATTTACACCTTTGTCAAAGAGAGAAATGAAAGGAAACCACAGCCTGGTTGTTCAGACTCCTCACCCTCAAACTCAGATATTTCTCAAAAACAGACAAATGGTCAAGAAAGGCAAGCATAGATATGTCAGCTTGGATGACGGAGGCTAGGGATAACAGTAACCTTTAACCTCTTCACGGAGAAAACTGACTCTATAAGCACACTTAGTGCCAAACAGTAGCTTTCTTCTTTAGGATGTGACATGAAATTACTTCGTATAAAAGTGCTCAGGTTGGATTCTGCACGTGGTAAGTCCTTAGTAAACAGAAGCAGCCTTCCGACTCCTTTTTCCTTCTCCTGCATTATCACCAACACAGACTGTCAGCTGAGACACTCCCTTACCTGTAAGACAGTCATCTGCATGTTACTCTGCCCACTGCAAAGCCAGACATCTCCAAATAAGACATCATGGATTCTGAGGGTGAAATCCGTTATCCCCAAAGTCTGTTGTGCCATCACTTCAAAAGGTCCCCCGGGCTTCATAGGATCCAGTACCACCATCCAGGTGTTGGAGGGTGCTGAAACAAGAACAGACTCCAAGGGGTTAATTAACCAACCCCCTAAAGTATAATTAAATACCAACCACACCTCATCTGTGGCTAAGCCCAGGCTCTGTGATAAAGTGTATGCAACCGCTGCTGTAAAGATTGCCCAAGCTCCAGGCAAGGGGGATGGAGCTGTTGAGAACAGCGGCCTTTTCATCCTTAATCTGTACCAATCCCTTCTTATTTTTAACTAAGGCGTTTACAAAAAAAAAAAAATTAGTTACCCAGTTATAATCCTAAATTAGGAGAGACAAAAATACACATGGATTAAAACTCAAGGATGGTTAGTTGACAAGAAAAAAAAAAAACCCATAAAACAGAAAATCTCATTACACCATCCAACTGTCAATATTACCATAATCTAATCTTCCTGATTTACACAGCACCCCAAACTAACTGCAATTATCCAATCGAATGTGAACACAGGTTCAGAAGATGATTTCTAAATTGAATCTTCCCTTTACTAAGCAGGGACACCCTTGCCATCCATCGCTACCTCCTTCCACGTTGCTGACAAGTATTATCCGTGCCAGCGACACTGGGTTCTCCCATCAACCAACAGGGTGGATGGAGAAAGCGACTTGTCAGCAAGTAGCAGGAAGCACATAAATTGATCTCAGTGAAAACGACATTTTAACCGACCCAATCGAATATTTCAGAGTGACAGACAAGGCTTGAGGTCCTTCAACTCCACTAAAGAAATAAGAAGCCATGGAAGACCCTATTCTAGACATTCATAGCTTGCTTCCTAGAAACCACACCTCCCATTACCCTTTTTCTCAGCCACTGGATCACCACTGTCAACATCAGATGCAGAGATTTAAGAGAAAAAAAAAAGAACCAGAAAACATGAAAACACTGGAGCAGTGAAATAGTGTGATGCTTTGTATATGCTTGGACCAAGGAGTGGCACTATTAGAGGGTGTGGCCCTGTTGGAATAGGTGTGTCACTGTGGGCATGGGCTTTGACCTAGCTGCCTGGAAGCAAGTATTCTGCTAGCAGCCTTCAGATGAAGATGTAGAACTCTCAGCTCCGCCTGCACCATGCCTGCCTGGATGCTGCCATGCTCCCACCTTGATGATAATGGACTGAACCTCTGAACCTGTAAGCCAGCCCCTATTAAACGTTATCCTTTATAAGAGTTGCCTTGGTCATGGTGTCTGTACACAGCAGTAAAACCCTAACTAAGACAAAAGGAACCTAGAAAAGGCAGAGAAAGCAACATTTTAACATAAAAAATGTCAAATGTAAACTGGCTTATCAGTTGCCATCAGATCAATGTAAATTCAAAGGAAAAGAATGAGGAGGGCAGGAAATAGAACATTGTAATCTTACCGCCCTAACCTATGAGAAGAAATAATTATGGAAATACCATCTGAGAGCCTACTTCATGCTGGACACTGTCCAAGGTTCCTCCTAGCTCCAATAACTAAGCAGAAACAGGAAATGTCCAGATGTGTACTTGCAAATTAGTAAAAACTGAAGCTTTAAAGGTTGCTTGGAGCGCTAGAGGAAATGTCTAAATGTTTGGTCCTCTGAAGAGCGGTACTAGCTGAGCCTGGAGCTCTGCCTCCAGGAGGTCAGCTAAACCCAGGACCACGTGCTCACCATTGTATTTCTCTGACCGATAGCCAGACCTCAGCATATAAAACACAAAATTCAACCTAAACCCAGAAAAGTCACTGTTTTGGAAACAGTGGGCAGCGAGTACAGATTGTGTGGCACAGGTGTGATGTGCTCCGTATGGCTCACACTTATGAACAGGCAGACGTTCCAATCTGTCCTAATACAGGCTTGCCAAGGTCTTTCCAGGCTTCCTGCACTGATACACCTTACCGAGGCTCTGTCCTTCCGCCAGCAGCGCTGTTCATGTGTGCTGATGGGGTCAGCTTCCAGAGAACCTAACACAGGGCTTAGTTCTTAGCCTCCTGCATTCATCCAATGCATTCAGAGCTATTAATTATGTGTTTTCTCTTAGCTTTTTCAATACACATGGCTAATGACAAAAACTCCCCAACACTTCTAACAAGTGTGCATGTCTATGGTGGTTTGAATAAGACTGGTCCCCAAAGGCACATATATTTGAATGCTTAAGGAGAGGCATTAGGTGGTGTGGCCTTGTTACAGGAGGTGTGGCCTTGTTACAGGAGGTGTGGCCTTGTTACAGGAGATGGGGCCTTAGAGGAACTGTGTCAATGGGGTTGGGTTTTTGGGGTTTCAATGTTCAAGGAGTCTCACAGTCTCTCTCTTCCTTCTGCCTGCCAACCCAGATGTAGACCTCTCAGCTCCTTCTCCAGCACCATGTCTGCCTGTGTGCCACCATGCAACTCACCATGACAACAACGGACTAAACCTCTGAATTTGTAAACAAGCCCCAAGTAAGTGTTTTCCTTTATAGAGTTGCCATGGCCATCGGATCTCTTCAAAGCAACGAAACCCTAACTAAGACAATGTCCAACAACAAAAAGACAGCGCCATGTCTTTGGTAAAACAGCGCCACCATTTCACTACAGCCAGAAAATGAATGAGCTCCCAGTAGGGCCTAGAACCTGAGGAAAACTGGACCTAGAGAATGAGTCTTGATTCCCAACATCTTTCGTACCAAAGAAATATGGGTTCAACTTCTCCAAAAGCTTCCTTCTTGGCTAGCTAGCCTAAGGTCTTTTAGTTTCTAGCATTTTCCTCTCGCATTTAAGAAAAAGAAAAATACGACCTGACACAATGCCGTAAAGCAGGAGAAACTTGCACTGCAGAGAATTCACTGATGGCACATGAGCTCAAGAGATAACTCATACAAACTACAGGATCATGTCACTGTTCAGCAACATCCAATGGGCTTTCTGCCGGTTCTTGGCCTTCTGAGCCACAGCTGCTCTGATCCTGCTCTCATGAACAGTGGTCATTTGCTGCTACCTGTTACCTCTTTTGCCAGTCTGGGCCCAGGTTTCTCTAAGTTTTCATTTTCACTGTATCGAAACCTCTGTGTTCTTACATTCTTTCTTCTACCATCTAGGAAGATCAACCGCCTGTCTTCATTTTAGCGCTACTCAGCCTACAAACATTTTGCCAAGCCCTCCATCGAGTAAATGACAAAAATGAACTCCAACCCTCGGCTAGGCTGATAAGAAAGCCATGCAAATTGACTAGGGCTTCATGTTTTCACATGTAAAGCAAGTCTGCTGGTTTGCCTCTGACGACTGATCTGCATATTACAGCTAAGGGCATACATAAAGAAAGAGCTATCTATCTCTCTTTTCTCTCCATCTTCCCCAGTTAACTCCAGCCTTAAGATGGAAACCACAATCCCAAAGGACAAAATGAAAATAATTTGTTCAGAGACATGATTAGTCATAAAGTATTTTCTTGCTTTTCTTCTTATTAATCTAATGTTAATTTTTTTCAGATTATTGTGATGAATATCAAGAAAGGGAGGGAGTACCCATGGCCTTTATCTTCCTAAAAGGAAAACCTAGGGCTTACAAGAAATAGCTCTCTTCACTTCTCCACACAGAACACTGACTCTTCGTCGGCTGAATCATGATCCTACGGCTTTTAAACATGGCTGGAAGGTGAAGGATGCCTTACTACCTAAACCATCCCTTACAACCTACACTTATTCTAGAGCTTACATTCAAATCTACCACCACCAAATAAGAATGAAATAAAAAGCAAACGCCTGATGCGAGTAAAACTGCTCATGAAAATTTTAGAAGCCATATCATGTTGTGGCATTTACACCTTAGGGTGGGTTCTCCAGTTACAGCCTTGTGTTATCCTTGCCCCTCTGGAACAAACAGAATCTGTGACTTACTTACGTTCAATAGTTCTACATCAGAGGAGAGGGGAAATATCCCTCTTGAGACTTGGTTATGTTATATGGCGGAGAAGGAGTGAAACTTATGGCATCTCAGTCACAATGGCTATCATTAAGAAAACGAATGACATCCGCTACTGGTGAGGATGTGGGGAAGAGGAACCTTTATTTACTACCAATAGGAATATAAATTGACTAAACATCTATGAAAATTAATATGTAGCTAGCCTGGTCTACAGAGCAAGCTCCAGGACAGCCAGAGCTACACAGAGAAATCTTGTCTCAAAAACAACGACGACAAAAGGATAAGTCAGGCAAGGGGTAGAGGCAGGGGAGTGAGTATGAGCAAAATACAATGATACATATGCGTAAAGTGCCGGTAATTAAACCTAGTATTTCATATGCTTTCAAAAGTAGACTAGGGACATGGCTTACCAGTTAGGGTACCTGCCTAGCATGTATAATGCCCCAGATTCAGTCCCCAGCACTGTGTAACCGGGGCGTGGCCGTTCATTCCTATAATCCCACCCTTTAGGAAATAGACGTAGAAGAACCAGAACTTCAATATAATTCTCAGCTACAAAAACAAAAAAAACAAAAAACAAACAAACAAAAAAAAAAACCTAGGCACTGAGCATAGGCAGTTTTGGAATTCTTCACTGTCAGTACATCTCACAGATCACAAGGAGGGGCTGGAGAGATGGCTCAGTTGTTAAGAGAACAGTCTGCTCCTGCAGAGGACCTAATTTCAGTTCTCAGCATCACTCTTCTACATCTTTATCCCTTCCCCAGAGAGACCCCTTTATCCTCACCTTGAACCTTCATCCTGGTAGCCATAGTCCCAGGCCAAGGCCTCGACATGTGTCTCTGTATATCACAAGAGCCTCCTAACAGCTCTACCAACCCTCACTGATGACTGCCAAACCCTATCAGTCTGCTCGTGTGCTTCTATTGCTTAACATTTACAGGTCCAGGATGTAAATGCTTTAGCAGGGATAAACAAGCCTCTATATTGTCCCATCCCCTGGCACTCACCATCAATCACTTAGCCCGGTGTCCCTGACCCACCCACCTCCATGGGATTTCTCACTGTTACAGATGTACTCTAGTCCCTGTGTCTATATCTACGATGTTCTCTCTACTGATTTTGTGCCTCCTCTTTCAAGACCAGCCTTAAACTAAGTCTATTACTCTACTACCATGCTACGCTCTCTCATGTGCGCTCTCTCTCTCTCTCTCTCTCTCTCTTCCCCCCCCTCTCTCTCAAACACACATACACACACACACACACACACAACACACACACACACACACACTGTCCTTCCTTACTGTGGCATATCTCACAGAACTACGAATGTTCTTTATTTTTCTGCCTCCTCCTCCAACCTCCAGGCTTCATTAAGGGACAGGCTACATCTGTTTTATACATCTGTTTTATACTTCTGTTTTATTCAGCACTTTATCATCAGTACCTAGCACAGTATCTGGCACATAGTAGGTACTCAATAAATATTTGAATGACTGAATAAATAATAGTAGCAGTAGTGGTAACAATAATGACCATTCATGTCAGTGTGCCAAGCACTGTTCCAACTACTTTATATGCATTTTATCCTCATAATAATCCATTAAATATTAGTACCACCTCCACTGTATACATGGAAAACAAACTGTCACAGAAGTATTTAATATATTATGAAATTACATACCTAGAAATGACAGAATCAGAACTCAGACGGTAAACTAAAAATTCAAGTTCTTCACAAGATCTCCAAATTGACTCTTTTTTTAAATGCTAGTAGGACTTATTTCAACTTTATTTTCTGAATATGTGTGTATGTGTGTGTATGTGTGTGTCTATGTGCCCAGAGTAGCCAGAAGAGGGCATCAGATCCCCTGGAGTCACAAGGAGTTATGAGTCCCCCTATGTGGGTGCTGGGAACTGAACCCAGGTTCTCTGGAAGAGCTCTTACCCTCCAAACCACCCTCTCACCTCTAGACTGCCTGCCTCTCTCGCATGTATGGTTCACGCCAACTATCATCTTCTGTGACAACTTTCCATAGCAACCAGACTGAGGTGGATGTCTTCTCTATCTCTTAGAACTCCACAGATATTTTATGTGTTCATCCAACAACTACATAATCTGTTATGTTCAATGAGCTCCTTGGTGAAGGGGACTTTGAGCCTTGTTACCATTTGTGGTATCTTCAGTGCCTACCCACACAAGTAAATACTCTGATAACTCGGATGGATGGATGGATGGATGGATGGATGGATGGATGGATAGATGGATGAATAGAGGGATGGATGGATAGATGATGGATGGATGGATGGATGGATGAATGGATGGATGATGGATTGATGATGGATGGATGGATGGACAGATGATGGATGGATGGATGGATGGATGGATGGATTGACAACCTGAGCTGGAGTCATAAGCTTTCATTTTCAGATAATCCAGCAGGTGGCAGAAGAGGACAATAACTGAGCAGAGAATGGGCTACCTTACCTTTCACACTGGTCACTTTCTTCATGATGGTTTCCTGACCTTGGCACAAGGTCACTGTCACTGTGGCCCCAGGTGTACCAAAGCCCCAGATCACTGCCCCTGAAGGCTCCTTCTGCAGCACCATGTAATTATCGATGTATGAAGCGAAGCGAAAACCAATACCTAAAAATGTCAACAAACACTTAGGCAAAAATAACGGGGGAGGGCGATTCAGCATCACGGAAATCTGGTAAAAGAAGAAGCAACATATAGTCCCTATGCAAAATAGTATGAGTGCATCTTAAGCCTGTTAATCTTCCAAAACCAGGTCTTGTTGCTCCAGATCAAATAAACCACATAATAAGAACAGTTTCCAACAATATGCATCACAGCAGACCATTAAGAGAAACGTAGGGGCTGGTGAGATGGCTCAGTGGTTAAGAGCACTGACTGCTCTTCCAGAGGTCATGAGTTCAAATCCCAGCAACCACATGGTGGCTCACAACCATCTGTAATGATATCTGATACCCTCTTGTGGGGTATCTGAAGACAGCTACAGTGTACTTACATATAATAAATAAATAAAAATTAAAAAAAAAAAAAAGAGAAACTTAGAACCCAGGATAACAACTAATGTACATACTCTCCTTCCTTCCCCTTCATAGTTCTTGGCCAACCCCCCGACCCTTGCTCTAAAACTTGTCTCTCGAATTAACATTCCTCCCTCAAATCACTAAAATGAACCTTCCATGAACCTCACAGATGGTGTTTATAAGAAAAATAAACCACTTCCTTCGCTAACTCGCCATCCCTGTACCCACTCTTCGTAGCTCACAGCTCCTCTGTTACTGGGCCCATCTTTAGCTCCTTCTCTCCATGCTATCAATGCCAAACCCCTTCAAGTCTTTTCTCTTGGGGGTTGCTGTTTATTTTGTTGTTGATGATGACGATGGTGGTGGTGATGTCATTTGGTTGATTGGTTTTGTTTGTTTGCTGATTTTTGTCTTTGATGACCTGGTACACCACACTTAATGACTGTGACAATCCTTCCTTTCCAGTAAGCTCGAATAAATCCGGAGACAAAAATAAGATCGTCTTTTCCTGCAGACCTAGAGACAGAAGGCTAAAATCTCTGAGAAAAGGTCTTGTCACCATTTCACAAGCAAAGAAAAGAGGAGGCACACTTGCATATTGGGTTCTGTGCTAAGAGTCACTAACAAGACTGAATAAGAATTCACTTTAACGAGATCATTTCTATTTTTAACTCATAGCCTATATCGGAGTACTTTTTAAATAACAAGCATTGATCCAAATGATCCCAGTGAGCTCATAGAAATTTAAGTAGGAAAATCATAAAACTTACATCCCAATTTGTCTCAGCAGGGGAGAGAGTTTTTAAAAATCCTCCAAAGAAAATAATTTACAAAATTTAGGGCTTTTGGTTTTGTTTTTTGTTTTGTTTTGTTTTGTTTTCTTAAATAAAAGTGATAGACAGGGAAGAGAATTAGAATTAACAAAGCTGACATTTTCCTCCCTGGAAGCTACAAAAGATGGCAGGCCCCTTAGGCTATATTTAACAGGGCAGTAGAGCTAATGGGGGTCCCTTCACAAGCTTGGTGGCCTATTAATACTGCTTTTTAAGTAACAGGCTAACCCTAAGAATCCTCAGCTCGCTTTCTCACTCTGGAGCTAGTTCAATCAGGAAGCCTACATGACAATCAAAGATTATCCAGAAGGCTTAACAAGCTCAAGATGCATGTACCATGAGCAAAATACTCTGGGACCACAACATCCCAGAATTGCATAAGCAGGTTGGCAGCCTGCTGGGGAAACCGGGAGGCATATGTGTGGGAGGGCCCTGTCTTGAGTAGATACAGAACAAAAGCTGAAAAGCAAATGCATAAATAAAAGCTAAGTGGCGAGAGGACTGGAGTTAGAAGAACGGAGTGAGGAAAATATTGCTTACATAGGCAACAATGTTACAGTCCATAGGATGGGGAATGCCTTTTCAAGCCAGTCTGCCTTTGCCAACATTCATTTATAGAACCTCTTTGTGAATGGATTTGTGGTGAGCAAAAAAATTTTAGAGGTGGGAAATATCTTTATAATAATAGTATAATTGTATTACTTACTGGAGTAAGACCCAAATAGATTAAACAATTTTTAAGAATAATTAGAACAGCTACAAATTCAACAAATATCCCTTTATGGATACCTACTACTTTACACATTGAGACTGTAACACTGGAAGGAAAAATAATACCGAGAATAGGTAAAAATTCTTGCTGCCAGGGGTCTTACAATCTGCTAGGCGCTTAGTGTGACAGAATACACACTAAGATACAGAAGACAGTAATGCTCTCGCCTGGCCTCAGAAGGTAGCTTATGACAGAATTAGAATCCACGTCATCTAATTCCAAAGGTATGGCAATTTCCTTTTTTGCTGCAGTTACGTTGTGATGGTAATGCAACGAAAAAGTATATACCCTATCCTGATGGAGCTCACATTCTAAGCAGAAAAGACAGAGACACATACTGAGGAACTGAGCAATGAACTAAAGAACCACACCTCACAAGCACCAGGTGGATCCAAACACCAGTATTTTTAAGGTGTTGGATTTTTCCCTTCATTTTTGGGACTTGAAGTGGAAAACAATCATGAGTGCTATGGGAAAGACACCATCATAAATAGACTAAGAAAAAGTTTTAGGCTAGCGGTTACTTCCAATGGGAATCCAGCAGAGAGACTTTACTGGCAGTCTCGCTAAAAATCACAGTGTTAGCAGTTCTCAAACTGGGTGGTTAATTATTAATAGGTCCTTCCATTGGTAAATGTGACTTTTTATTACCTTCAACACATGAGCAAAAGGAGAGTGTTAAAGGAAAGATGGTAGGATGTGCAAGGAAGAGCTAAGGGAGATCTGAGGCAAAAAAATGAATGAATACTGTCAAGGTAACCAAGGTCACCTACTATGACCCAAAGGAAAGAAAGCAGTGGAATTAAATTTGACAGCCCTTAAAAGGAAAACTAAGAAAACAATGGCTCTACTGCCTTTACCTTCCCCCCACCTCCTATGACAGGTCCCCAAAATCATGAGAGGGTTGAGAAATGGGGAACGACCAGTACAGGGTACTAGCTTTGAAACTGAAAGCCCACTGAAAGGCTGCTGTCTGCCTGGTGCCTACATCATGTCATTTCTTCCCACTCCAACTTTCATTTTATTTGCTGTGGTGATGGAAGCCCAAAGTCCTAGCATGCTAGCCAAGAGCTTTTCCCCAGAGCTATATTTCCAACCCCTCAAATTTCATTGATTGACAGTCTTTGGGGTCCACTCTTTCACTGATCCAAAGAAGAGAAGAGGTGGGTAGATCCAGCATTAACACTTTACTTTGAGTGAACAGATTCCTATCTGTTGGTAGCCCATGCTGAGGGCAATGTCCAGCCCAGGTTAGTCAGATGACAAGCTCTGACCTGCACAATGGCCAGTGTGAATCAGCTACCTTCCCAGTGTGAGGAGTCTTACCCCTCCACTAATATCTCTTTAACTCCATCAAAAGTCAGAGCTGAACCTTAAATTATTCTGAGCTAGTGAGGGGGTTGTATTTCTTAGCCCTAATAACCACTTAAACTAGTAAAATTTAATTCCCTCAAGGCACCCATCCTGATAGAAGCCCTCCCCAAGGGTACCACTGAGGGGGCAGGTGTTGAAGTATTTTGGATGACTCAGTCACCTGTTTTCAAATATTATCTAACTAGCTTCGCCCCCTTCTCTTTGAGCTCTCCTAAAGGCTTTGGTCTGAGGACACTGGAGGCTGCTCCAATAGGTAAACCGAAGTCTTCCTCTGCCTCCTAGGCTGCAAGTGAGGTACCCTGCTTGAAAAAGGCAGGAGACAGGCCCAGCAGTACCTAGGTGGGAAAAGACCAGTTCTGACTCAAACCAGACTCTTAGAGGGGACGCATGCCAAGATCCTGCAGAGGATCTGAAAGGCTGTTAGAGCTGTGACACCTCACCTGCACTTCTGCTGACCCGCGCGATTATGAGAAGCACTAGCCAAAACACAGGCCCCGGGGAAACCATGTTTGAGAAGATCTTCATTAACCCGCAGGACTCAGGAAGAGCACTTAGGCGGGGGGCGGGGATAGGGACAGAGGCGTGGTCTTGCGTGGTGGGCGGGGCCTGGGCGGGTCTACTAGAGGGCCCCACCCTTAAGTCTTCAGTACGCGAAACATCCGCGGCGCAGCGCAGGGCGCTCCCCTCTCCTCCCGGCCTCCGTAGTTTAAAAAAAAGAAAAAAAAAGAAAAAAAAACGGTTACCCAGCAACGAGATAAAACACTGGAACCATCCGCACCAGCTTGAAGAGAAAGAAGAGGTGAGGCGGTTTCCCTCACTCCCTCTCCAACGTGGAGGCTTCGCCTTTTTCCTTCGTGTCGTAGTCTCTCCGCATCTCCAACACTCCCGCAACTCCTGGACCAGATAGGAAGTCTGGCAAGCCCTTTCTCGGAGAATCTGGAACGCTAGGGCATCGACGTCCCGCCCACGGTTTGACCTGCCTTCCCCCTCGACCGCCTGTCCTCCCCCGCCCGGTTCAGGGCTTTTCACAACTCTCAAGATTCGATATCTAACCTCCAGTTTGTACCCAAAAGAGAGAAAGGGAAGAGTCTCCACAGGTTAGGCCTTGTTAAACCTCTAGTTCTCCAGCCTCGACCCCCAACCAGCGCCGCCTTTGTGCTTCTCGGGGTAACACAAGCCCAGGCCCAAAGCTGTCTTTTCTCAGTGACCAAATCCGCTCTTTAAGCCACCTTTAAGCCAGTCCTCGAATAATAAAATAGAAGGCCTGACCAAACCAGAAAATAAGACTCCCCAGACTTCAAAAGCTGGATCCCCAAACCACGACCTCCCTTTCTTAATCCCTTATCAGAAAGCAGAGGAGCTTGAGAACATTATAGGCCATGCTTCAGAAGATGGGACTGAAAAGTGAAACTATTCAACAAATTATAATAATTTCTAGGATGGCTAGTTTTTGTTTGCTTGTTTGATTTTTTTTCTAGGGGAGTAGGGGTTTCAGGACAGAGTTTCTTTGTGTAGCCCCTGGCTGTCCTGGAACTCGCCCTGTAGACCAAGCTGGCCTTGAACTCACAAAGATCCACCTTCTCTTGTCTCCCAAGTGCTGGACTTTAAACAGTTTCTTCTCAGCAATGTAAAGGAGATTATCCCAGCTTCTCAGCAATCATTGTCTCTTCAATATAGTGGGCTAGCAAAATCTAACCTCACCTTTTAAGACAAAGTACTTAATATCTAGTGAAAGCTGTGATTCTCTAACTTTAAAAATATGCATTTGTCCAATTTAATGGATCTGCGTTTATAATATTATAATTTATCGAGCATGGGGTTTATCCACCCAACTGGCTGTAATCCCACCACTTGGGAGACAGAGGCAGGTAGATCTCTGAATTAGAGGGCAGCCTGGTCTACATAGTTCCAGAACAGCCAGAGCTATGTAGAGAGACTCTGTCTCAGAAAACAAACAAAATTGTTCAGTGGTAGAACTCAAAACTCTAGAAGAAATGGGTAGACTTGGTGAGGTGGCTTTTGTGTTCATTTATTTAGTGTGTATAGGAACAGCCTCAGTGATGTAGAAAAATGCCTATAGAAGTCAGAGAACAGTTTGTGAGAGTCAATTCTCTCCTTCCACAATATGGTTTGCATGGACTTAATTCAGATCTACTGAGGTAGATCACCAGGGCCTGGATTGTGTGACTTTTTTCTTTTTAAAGTCCAAAATATGGTGTGTGTGTGTGTGTTTGAGAAGTGATTTGAGTCGTGACAATGAGTTGGTTTGTGGTAGTTGTGATTGTATAATTTAAATTAGGCACTTTTTACTGAATCTTTAGGTACCATAGACAATTCTTTCCGAGGAGATGTCGATTCCTTTCTCCAACACCCACTACCGAATTCCACAAGGATTTGGAAATCTTCTTGAAGGGCTGACACGGGAGATTCTGAGGGAGCAACCGGACAATATACCAGCTTTTGCTGCAGCGTATTTTGAGAACCTTCTAGAGAAAAGAGAGAGTAAGCTCTTTTTTTAAAAAAAAAAATAGGAATTTTAAAATAAACTAAGCATTTCATTATGGTAAAACTTAAGATTGAGGAATATACATGTCTTCAGCCTGTGACTTCCATATGCATGTAAACACATATCTAGTACTCCCAACACACACACACACACACACACACATACACACACACACACACAAACCCCCACACATGGGAACATGAAAACATACACACACAAAAAGAAAAAGAAAAAAAAATCCTAAAAATTATGGTCGTTGTGCAGAAAGCCTTTATGAGGCAAGTGGTTTCAAATACAGCTCTGAATATTTGTGACAGGATGTGACAGTTCAGTCCCCAGAACATCCTCACGGTATTTCTCACGTATGTAGTATGGAAGGAGGTAGACCTCTTCTCATGCATCCCTGCTAGCTGACTGCCTGTTCTTCCTGAGAGGAGAATGTGCAGTTTTCTTTAAATCTTGATTCTTCTCATTTGAAAGTATTATAAGTGTTATAAAAATAATTCAACACTCCTTAGATTAAATAAATTGGGTTTCGCTGGGATATGTGAAACTGTTCTTCAACGGAGGCACAGAAACAAACCGCTTTGGCAAGTGACTTGCCAGCTGGGGAAGGTAATTTACATTCTGTCTACTTTCCAGGTCCCATCCTGCATAAAGACTAAGGTTCATGCTAGCAGTGACTTTGAGTCCAAGCCAAAGTGGCGTTCCTATGCTTCCTTTCATAAGTACAATTTCCAAACCCCAGCCGTGGCAACTCATGGCTATGAGGGTCTGGCCCAGAGGTCAAAAGGGGAATGATTACCATGCTTGCTGTAATCCTACTCTTGCCTAGAACAATCGTGGTATAGATGGTTTGTTACCATTATTTTAGGCAAAGGAGACAGGAAATACCCCTAAGCAAACAGATGTTCCTTCGTAAATCATTCTACAGAGAGGAAACCCAGAACAAGACTAGAATCAAAACAACTCACACACCCTGAACAGCTCCACCCCCTGTCCCTTGTGATCCTGCCTTTGAAGAACTCAAACTTTCCACCAGTTTACTGACTCCTGCTGGTCTGTCTCATATCCAATCAGGGTGAATATCTGCTGCACAATCTACAGTATTTGTGGGGAAAAACTATTAAAATAAATTGTTTGATTAAAAGTAATGTTTTGGTGAACATGAATTTGGTTATTGTAACATTAACTTTTACAAATTCATGCAGTAAAAATCTTCAGTTGTTTGTTTAGTTTTAGAACTCAGGAACATGCCATTAAAAAAATATATTTGAGTCATTGTTACCAGGTCACAGTAATAAAAACAATTGATGACTAATGGCCTTAGAATACTAGTTCTCTGATAAACAAATGGCTAAAACCATTTGAAAAAAAACTTGACCACCACACCTACTTCCACTTACGTCAACTCAAGGTGAATTACCAACTGATTCAGTATAAAAACGTAGCCTTTACAAGTAAGGGCAAAAGAAATAAGTGTGGACTTCTAAACCAGCAATGTCCAGTCTCCCACCTGGCAAGAATTCCCTTGCCACCCCTTTTCACAGGTGGTCAGTAGTCTTCATTTTTGTGACAAGAAACCTGTTAATACACAGTATAAGTGGTAGCTCAAGTCATTAGGAGAAAATGGACCTCTTAAATAATATTGAGATCAAAAGGAGAAAACAAATTTGCATCAGTTCTTTATATCATACACCCAGATAAATAATAAATTGACTCCAGATTTAAATACTAAATAAGAAACCATATAAATGCTTGAGAGAAAATATACTTCATCCCTTAAGAAAAGCATCTTGCTTGCCAAGTTGCTTCAAACTCAGATGCAACAAAGTTGAAGGAACAGATTGATGGAACTGACAGCACTGAAAGTCAGCTTGTGTGTGACAAAGCATCATGAAGAAAACAAAATAACAGACAGAGAAAAATGCTTGCAGTTTACATCCCAGCAGCCTAGTGAGTTAATAAGCCTAATAAATAGCTTGTAAAAGTCACATATTTAACAAATTTATGTCAAGAGATAACAAGCAGTTCACACAAAGATAAACACAAATAGCTCTTAACATGAAAAGCTACCCAGACTGACCCATAACAACAACAATTCCAATCTGAATTGCACGCAACTGGGCATCTAGAGATGGCTTAGGGGCTAAGGGCACTTCTGCTCTTCCAGAAGACCCAGGTTCAGACAGCAGCAGCCACCTGGGCAGGTCACAACTGCCTGGAACTACAGCTCCAGGGGATCTGATCTGTTTCCATTGGCACACACACAAATACAGTAATGAAACACAGAAGAAACAACTACCAACCACTACGTGTACTCAAAAAAGCCATAAGTGCGACAGTGTGACTTGTAGACCAGGCTAAGAGAACTAAGCCCTCATCCTCATTCCAACTAGAATGGAACATATATCCACAGGAAAGGAATTCTGTAGTACCTTTCAAATTTACAGTTCCTCCTTTACACGTTTCATTATACCATCATTTGTGAAAACAACTCAAATATACATATTGGATTTTTTTTTTTAATTTTTGCACTGGCCCAAACAACAAGGCAAATGAGTCTTTAACTGATACCTCTCAAATCGTAAACCAAAATATACCTCTCCTCTTTTAACTTGGTTTATCTGAGGTATTTGTGACAGGAATGAAAGCTGACTAACATGTAGAGTCACTCTGGAAACTTTGTAACTGTGTATAAAAGATTAAGTGTGCTAGTATTGGGAATGCATTTGGAGTGTAAAAGTAATTTTTAAAATGGTTTAATAAATGTCTGTAATTTTGAATTTGAACTTTAAAATATCAGTATGATTTTTTTTTCTCTTTTAAAATGTAACTCGGAGAGTGAAGGCACCTGCTGTAAAGCCCAAAGACCTGAGTTCAGCTTCCAAGACCCACATGGAAGAAGGATAGGACAGGCTCCTGCAAGTTGTCCTCTGACTTCCAACCATGTGCCAAAGCATGCTTGTGTAAAACACGCATGCATACATACATACATACATACATACATACATACATACACACACTATTTTAAATT